AATTGGTATAGGTTTTAAGTACCTCTGAATAATAATTCGTAACCAATTTATTTAAAAATAAAAAATAAATCCCTAATAGTACTTCTCTTCCCTCTCTTTTGTTGGCCATGACTTTAAGTTGATGCAACAATCACAACAAAGTTTTAGTACATTCTACAGAGACCTATCCAACAAAAAAAAATTATCAAAATCGAACCATAAACAAAGATTTTACAAGGGTGTACATTGCTTAAATGGAACACACTGTATAATATATTTAGGTATTGAAGTAGGTGCAAAAAGACAAACGCAATATAACTCTGGTTAGATGTTTCGACCAAGTCTTCGTCACATTCTTCGGAGTTTTATTCGTCGAAGCCAAAGTTCTCCTCATCGGATTCTTCGTCGATTTCTTTGACTTTGCCGACTTCTTCTTCGATCAAATTTTGCGACTCGTACGACCTTTCCTGACATTTAAGAAGTCGTAACAGCCTCGAAAAATGGCTATGACTCTGTTTGGGATTTTTGGAGGCTGGAAATTAATGGGTGACATCACACAGATTGTCGATTCTTGAAGTATTCCGGCCGAATCTACTGCGAAATTACTCCAAGTGTTGATTTCGGGCTTATTGGGCATCCATCGTATCATTGCTCGAAAGATTACTTGTAAGATTATTTAGCTGTATGGAGCTGTATAGAGCCACATAATTTTCAGCTGTATTTAAACAATGTTCATCCGTTTTATTAAAAATCCCTACTTTATCAAATGAATATTTTTAAGTTTTATGCCGAGATGCCGCTGGGTTTCCTTAGGCAACATTTCACGAAGATACATTCTTTAAAGTTTTTTATGAGACCGATATGTGGTCTTCCTTTTCTAGAGTCGACTTACAAAAATCCAACATACACAGAAAAACTTTTACATTCCAGGAACCCAGCGAGACGTATTTTTACGGCCTAGCGAAATGCAGTCTTATTTATAACATAATAAATGAAATTATTTGAAATACGTTGTGTGAACACTTAAGTGTATTAATGAAAAGATTTCTATTTCATTTTTCTAGGGAAATTTTAGTGACGCGTTGCGACAAAAATAAAGTTAGGTCGGCCTTGGGAAGATTTCGGAAGCTAGTTTTAACATATGTTTATAACTACAGATTCGCAAACATTATTTTCTTAAAATTAGAATCAAGCGGGGATTTTTTGTAACCTCTTATTATCATCGAAATTATTCTTGTTATATTAAAAAACGTCAATATTTATATTGTAATTTCGAGCATCAAAGGGGTGCTTGAACTTAATATTAATACATGTATAAATAATGTACATATTTCCCAGGTTATCCATCTCGAACGGTTTCGAACGAGCCATTACACTTCAAAATATTCACAATTTTATAACAAAGACTTTAAAACTCTGAACGACGCAACTAATATCACTGCTTGAATAATGACGTTTCAAAGACGGACACGCGCAGTGGCGCGCTTTATCGCTACGTAATTTTCGTATTGTAGTTTTAGTTTCTACCGTAAATAACTTTTCGCCAGCTGTAAAACAAATATCGGTGTTAGGGCTTACCGCCAACTTGTTACGATTTGATTTGCAGTGGGCGGTGTCTAGTGCTTCCACAGGTTTTGACCTAATAACCTCAATAAAAAGGGGTGCTACCTATCGGCAACAATTTACATTAATAATAATAATAAAATGGCCCGCATTTGACTTGTTTATATATAGATTCTCGGAATTTTCGTTGCTAGAAAGATTGATTACCTTCAAGACTTAGTTTTTCGAATAAGATTTTATGTCCCGGTTTTGAGATTGTGTGCGAATCAGTTAAGCTCTGAAGAAGTCAACAGGATGATTGGCGAAGCCTAAGTCAACAAAAACCGACGCAGGAGTTTTGAAAATAGAACCACATCATTTCTTAAATAAGTCTATAAATATAAAATAAAATATAGCGTGCCCAAAACATAAACATTTATTAAAATGTTTAATAAAATTGTCGATTGAGTAGTAGGCCCCATCCAGCAAAAGAGTTTTGCTAAATTGCCTTTTGGGCAATTCTCTAATAGTATGAGGTAAACAACTTCGAGCCACAGTAATTTTATAATATGTCTGGTTTTCCCGATTCTTGATTAATTATTTAAGGTGCGCTTGAGGTACAGTTAATATTTGAAAATCTGTAAAGTTTTGTTTCGCATTGTCGTGCTAATTGCACCATTGCCCTTATAGCTCAGCTTTGATCGGAAAAGACGCGCTCGGTTACTCGGCATGTGATGAATGCACCCAGATTAAAATTGAATAACAGAGTCAATCCTGACAAAGTGAATACGCCGCTTTGAGTTCATTTAAAGGTACCAGGCTACGCAAGAGATATACTGTTTTCAAAAGTATACAACAAAGACAAATAATAGGTGGTTGATTTTTGTCAAAAAAGATATATATAGAAATAGTAAGCGCGTATGCCGCAGTAAAAATAGTCCATCTTAATATTATCGTAATCTCAGTCTATAGATTCCCGGACGGGAGATGCTGAAATTATTATTTTAAAGGCGTCGTTTAATATTGGGATTCTATTTTTAAAAATTTAGTCTCAACTTTTTACGGAAAGGGAACAGTATGAATGCGTTGTTGTTCTGTCAACTGTTGATTTTCTTCTGTGAAAAGAATAGTGTTAAATCCCACTAAAACGAGAAGCTTTTGACAGCTAGAAAGACTACGTCTGAAGGAACGGCTGTTTAATCACGAAACCAAATAAGCCTATGGAAAGTTTTGTCCACAATAGGATTGAAATATCACGAAATAGACAAGAGGAAAATCCTTATGGAGTTGGTGCGATAATAGAATCGATCACACTGTGTCACTGTGTCTTTATCAAATGTAATATTTAGAAACTACCTGCTACTATATATACCGAACAATGACCATAAAACCTTAATTAATGTTGTTGTGAGAATTTAAGTTCAATAAAGGAGAGGTATTTAAATCTAATTGAGCGTTAAGCAACATTTGAATGTCTCATTTTGTTAATCTCCATGGCTTCCAATAAATTTAATTTTCTACTTTTTGTGGCTGTATGTAAAATATCAAAATTGTAGTCAAAAATGTGTTTTTCTGTGTTTAAGTATGTAGCATAATTAGAATCTAGACTATTGTTTTTAAACGCTCTTTTATGTTCGTTAATGCGTTTCTTGAAGGATCTACCTGTTTGTCCAATATAAATTTTAGGACAAGATCAGCATTTCAACCTGTAGACACCTGATTTTTGAGATTTTGGACATTTCGTTTTATTGTTTTTTTTTAATTTTCCTATTCTGTTGTTACTTCTGAAAGCTATTTTTAAACCACATTTTGCAAATGTTTTAAAACTTTTTCACTAGGTTCTCCTATGTACGTAATTGTTCTAAATTGTTCGCGTTCTGTATTAGGTTTCGGATAAATAGAGTTTACTGTAGTCTGGATATGTTTTTTATTTATAATTTTATCTATAATGGACGGATTGTTACCGTTGTTCAGTGCAATTTGTTTAATGATATAAAGTTCTTTGTTTAATTTTCTGTTGAGAGTGGCGTATTAAGAAGTTATTATTATGAAAGAGTGAAATGCAGCCATGCCAAGGATGATTTGAGCTGTTATGTATAACTGTGTCCGTGTGTGAAGGTTTATGATAAATTGAAATATTTAATTTGTTTTGCGCTTTCGTAATAGTTAAGTCTAAAAAATTAATAGAGTTATCCTGTTCAATCTCGATAGTGCCCAGTAGCATCAACAAATCAATGCATCAATTTGATATTTTCTCAAGATTAATTTAAATGTCTTCAGATCATAATGAAAACAGTTGTCTTGCTTATAAGCTTTTCCAGTACAAGGATATAATTCCAACGCTTGTACGAAGAATAAAAAGAGTGAACCAGAGGAACCTAATAATATAATCCAAAAACAAGCATAAAAAGTGGCAAGAGAAATTAACCCAATTCAGGTTTTATATAAAACACCAAAAGGAATGTCTCTTTTGCCTGGACTGTTGACCATGATCATGAACATGCAGTATACGGCTAGTTTCAGGTTTGGTATAATTAGCAACAGTGACAATATTTTGACCAAGTTTGATAATATTGTTAATTAAAGTAGATCAATAAAAGATCTGCATATACAGTATAGCAATATCTTAAAATCCTGTTGCCACACTAAAAAGATTGATGCAATAATGTTGCATAATGAAATAATATAGCATGTTTATTATTTAAAAATTCTGCAAAATAAAAGAAATCCACCACAACCCAAGGTCCATTATTTACAAAATGTTACACGTGTTTCGCCCACACATGTACCATCAGACGCATAAAATAAACATTTAAAAGAATAAAACAATTTACATAAATTCAGCAACGTACCCACATACACAGACGTCAACGCAAACGCAAACAGACACATAGATACGAATTACAAAATGTTGTCATATACAACACACACCAGAGACGTACAGTTTGTATTATTAAAAATTAAAGTCGGCTCGAAATTGAAAACATCGTGAATGCAATCAACGAGAGATCTCTTTTTTGGTTTGCCGATTTTTAATTTCTCCAGAAGACCCACGTTTCACTCTTTGGGCACTCAATATTGACATTTCTATTCGGAGGAAAGTTATGCTGCGTCGACAAAATATGAGTAAGGAAAGCAGATTTGGTGTCTCTGTCACATCAGTATCTAACACACAAGGTGTTCCTTGACGCCTGATAAACATGTTGCTGCCAGACTATCCGATATAAAATTACAACCGTAACAGTTCAAAGAATCCGATCTTGGAAAATAATCTATTAGATATTTGACTTTAATTAGAACAACTCGTGAACAACTTAGCCAGGCTTGGTGGAATATTACCGAAGAAGATCAACTTTAGATCTACATTTAGAGGTTTTGGATAATTTGTAAAATAATTTATTGATAGAACGTAGTGGACTACCATTAATGAATTTGTCTTATCGTCGTCAAAATATCTGAAATTGTTAAGTTTCACCCACCTGATCGGGTCTCAGACCAGGAGGCACCCACGTATACTCCTCCAAAGCGCACCCGGAGTCGTCGTCGCTCTGGGAGTGCCTCTGGGGGTCCACCCCGCTAGGAGGGGCGAACGGAGAACCCTTCCCCAAAAATCTATCCGACACCGGATGGTCGGTGACCATTTTGCCTCCCCCGGGGGAGGGGAGGGCCGGCGGCGACGCGGCACCTTCGTGGTGATGCACGTTTGACATTGGTGACGGCGACTGGTGGCGGGGGTAGCTCCGGCAAACCGGTCTGCAAAAAAAATTATTTCTCTGTGAAATTCTTTAAATTTCGTTAACAGTAGAACCGCAACAGACTCGTCGTGAAGCTCAGACGTGGCTACCTGGTTTTGCATTTACATTCGAAATTTTCTCGGTAGAAAAATAACGAAATTGCGAGCCCGGGGCACTGTCTGACGCGTTCCATGAGCGGAACGTTTCGGAGGGCGTCAAGTTTTACAGATTCAGTTTTTCGCTTAAAATGACTAAACTTTTAGGGATTAGTGCGCAACAAGATATTGTAATCTTACATAAATATTGTAACGTTTGTTTGAAAATATAGTTGATCTTCCAAATTTTATTATCAATTAATTAAATTAAAGTTACTGAACATAAATATGATGTAACTTAAAATTTGCGCGTTCCGGCTTCTCTTTTTATCTGACCTCTGGCGCGCTTTTAGGGAATGCAGCGACTAGAATGGCACTGATTTCTAGTTGTAACTACACAGATTTTAGCTGCCGTAGAATTACTATTTATCTGTATTAACAAACTATATTGCTCATATTGTATCAGTGTAATTACAGTGTGAGAGTATCAAAGACTCGCATAGCTATGACCGGTTAAGTAAAGTCTGTTCGTAGATATAAGAAAGTGATTTACTGATACGAATTAAGGAAAGACCCGGGCAAGTTGTAAGAATGAAATATGGCCGAACAGATCCGTACTTTCCTTAGAATTTAATTATTTGGAGTTTTGTTAGGAAAAATACTAAATAATATTTATTTATTTATGTATGTATTTATGTTTAAATCTAAAATAAAATTACAAGTTATTTTTATTACCCACTTAAATTACTTAAAATTAATCACATAATATATCAGTATCACTATGGCTATCATCGCCTGTTCTAATTATTATTTGTTCTATATTTGCAATATGGACATACGATTGTTCTGCTTTTTCTATATCTGTGACAGAATTTGCCCAACTTTGTGGAGGGATGTTAAAAACTTCGGTTTCTATAAGTTTGAGGACATTGGAGTTAACACGGGGAAAAACATTGTTACGACGAATGGCAGATTTCAGTTGGTGCCAAACATGTTCAATGGGAATAAATATATAGTGGTAAGGTAAAACTGTATGCCCTAGATTTTTTGAATAATTATCACAGACGTATTCCTTTTCTAGGTTCAAGCTTTGTAGAACCTCAATTAATTGCTTCTTGGTATAATCTTCGTGAAAATAAATGTCGTTGTTTGTTGTTCTCTGTAAATCCTAATTTTTTCTAGATATTCCAGTCGCCATTTCCGAATTCTAAAAGATTCCGTTAAAACTTGTCTTTTGTCAATTTTTTTAAACCTAAAACCCATGTGTTGAATACACTTCCGTAAGGTAGTTCTGCCACATTTAACACCGGTTTCATCTTTTTCAAGCCTCCTAATTAAGATATCTATAACTGGTAAATTGTACGCCGTATTATATCTTGATCACTTTCTTTTTTTCCTCTCTAAAATGGGATTATTCACAATTTTCCAAACAGTTGATGTTGGAATTTTCGTCAATGTGGTCGTTTCTTCTAAAGATGCTTGCTTGCTGGCACCACGTTCAATGAGAGTCAAATAAACATTGTTTATAACTTCCTTAGTCTCGATAGAATAGTGTTTTCTACATTTGGGAGGGAGCATCTCTTGAGATACACTAGACTCCCACATATTTTGCATAATTCGCACACGATTCAACACACGCTGTATTACACACGAAATAAGAATCATTACTAATAAACTGAAACTAAGGAGTATACCAAACCAAAGAATATTAAACATAGGTAGGTATAAAATTATTTTCTATTACGGACCACAATTTTACCTGAATTTAAATTCCGAAACATTAGGTAATAATCTTGTTGCATTGTATGTTAATGACCACCCTTGGATAATCCCATTCAAAAGCAATTGGTCACTTTCTTATATCTATGAACAGACCATACATGCTTATTTTTGAATAAACTTATGAGGGACATAAATAATCTTTGAAACATTTTGGAGATTTGGGAAAATGAGGGACAAATATACTACTGAAAAGCAGAACATTTTACTCCCAACAAAAAGATTTACTGCTCCTGAAAATTTTTTATTAACAGTCGTATGATATTTTTTTGGAATAGATTAAAACACTTGGCACAATCGTCTTTGCTGATACAGAAAAGGAGATTCTGTAGAGTAAATAAAATAATTACTATCCTATAGCGCTGATATATTTCTAGGTGCAGATTCGCTCCACTCGAAGAGTGTAACACTAAAAAAACTCAGTTTTGAAAGAGAAAATTTGCTCGTTACCAGGATCAATTTTAAACTCATAAATAAAACAACAATGACTTGCCGACCGGTTAAAACTTTTACACTCGTTTATAATTATTATTTAAATCGCATTACGACTATTAATATACAGGCGATCCTTAAAGGGAAACTTGCCCGAGCATAAAATTTGAATATCTACTTCGGCAGAGGCGACATATTTCGTCCGTCTTAAGTAGATGTTTATCCAAATTTTCGTATATCTTAATCATCTCCAGCGGACACGTTCGGAAACAAATTACCTCGGACCGTTAATATTTATTTTTATTGGGCAAGTTTAGAAATGTCGTCAGATTTATTTGATTTCTAGACGAATTTAAAATGACCGAGACACAGGTGTTTTCGGATATCTTAATTGTCGTTGTTCTGGGCGTTGCTGACACTGAAAGCGTTTTTATGACGTTTAATACAAAATAATATCATTTACCGTTTTTAAGAACTTTGAAGTCTAAAATCGGAGAAAATTTAAACATTTTGTTTGGGCTAAATCACTGATATTGTATCTGTCTAATGAATCATACAAGATGTGCCACTTGAAATAGATAACGAAACCGAAAGCGTTTATTGCTTAGTTGCTATACTTATGCGGCCAGTGACTTAAAGGCCTAATCCAAGTTCTAACTCATCTGGGAAGTATACAAATGTTTATACGAAAGGTTTTTATTTTTTTATCGCACAAAAGTAATGCAAACTCTCACTAGATGACAATATAAATAATTAAAAAAAAACTAATTAAATAAATTTAACAAGCAGGAACGGCATTCATCATCGCATCTACATTTTTTTCTATATACCAGTTTCCATCCCCATTTTTTAAAATCTTTTAATACAAGTTTTTTATCCGTACCCGAGAACGCCATTTTACTTACATGAAGTTCATTGTTACTTGGAAGTTGCTTAAATATTTCATTATTGAATAATGATTTTGTTCAACATATTAATTTTCCCCCACCCCTTTAAATAACAAATAAACTGAAGATTTTTTATCGCACACTGTAGGGTGTTATACAGGGTGTAGTTCCTTGTTTAAAATGAAGCATAGTTCGTTAGATAAACGTTGCGCCAAAAGCCAACCATTAGGGAGATATCGCGCTGCACATATGGCGAAAAACTATGTGTTTATTTTTTTTCTTAAAACCGAAAATAAAATAACAATAAACAATAAAATATTGCGGAAATATTGCTATTATAAAAACGCATTTTCTGCATATATATATATATATATATATATATATATATATATATATATATATATATATATATATATATATATATATATATATATATATATATATATATATATATATTAAAGAGTGCTGCTACTTGTCTGTTGCCCTTTCATAATATTAAATATTTACAAATCCGGTTGTTCGAATTTCGCGGTTCATGTCTTTGATAAAACATGGTAAACAAGCTGTCCTGAGGAGACCTACGATTAAGAAACGCCTATGGATAAAGACCACAAGCCTCCAAGGGATTTAGTATTAGATAATAATTTTTTGATTAAATTAAAAGTATTTTGTATTCAAAACGCCTTAAGAAAAGACAGCAGGCTACAAATTTTTTTATCTCGTTATGCATTGCTTTTGATTTTAAAATGGTAAGTATTACGAAACAAATGCAGGAGACAAGTTTCTAAATAAAACATAAAAATATATTTCATCTTTAAATTTATTCACTTCTTCTAAAAAAAAAATATAATACTAATACCTCTGTAATATTTCAATGTTCTACCTATTTTCGTTTATAAGGTAAAAAATAAAAACTTTATTTTTCCGCCATGTTTGTTGTGTTGAATGACTTTTAAACCAACGTTTATATAACAAAGTACCCTTTATTTTAAACCAGACATCATCCCATCAATACCTTATATATAAATGTAAAATTAATTAATTTGTATACTAACGATTCCACATAATCTATAGGAATTGAAATAAATAATGTACGGAAGACAGTTTACTTTTTAAAAAAATGTCAACATCTATATCATCACGCCATCACAAGCAAACCACACACTCTCAACCCAAAAATGGAAACAATCCGCTCAAGAAAGAACCATGATACCTGGCTTAAAATCAGTCTTAAAATTTCAAAAGGATTTGTAAGCATAAAAAAATTTCCACATCACTGGATTCTCAGTTGCCATTTCGCATTTTGGGTTTAGCAGTACAATTACTGAAAAATACGAAAATTCGCCGACTCGCGTTGAAATGTTTTTCCAACCAGCTTCCACGGGCAACCATATCCGTGGGTGTCACTTAAGTAGATTAAAACGAACTCATTACTTCGGTGACGTAACACGTGCCTCGGTTAATTCTGAAATTTCGTTGTTTTACTCGAAATTAAAACGACAAATGACCTATCGTTAGAGCTGAGCGAGAGGAGCTCAAATGTCGATTTGATTGGTTTAAATTATGATAGAAAAGGCTCCAGGTACTTTGCCATAGCTAAACTATATTATATTTTTAAATAATGCATACCCACCACTAAATTAGGCACTAATTTACACACATTACACACCTACCGATTTTATTATGAGTTATAATATCAATAAAAGATAAATGCCGAAGTTCGCCTTTCCGGATATGCTTTCCCCATGAAAAGTTCATATCCTTCAAGGTTTTCTATAGCAATTTTGGTTAGTTTCTGTCTAGAGAGGTTATTTTCTTTTTAAAATGGAAAATGGACTTTTTTAGGAATAAGGGTCAATCATTGAAATGAATGTTGAAAATTTTCCTCATACTGTCTTACTGTTACCATTATTCACATTTTCAATTTTTCAATTTTTCAAACAAACTTCCACAGGCCACTGTAATACTATTTACAAAACTTCTCGATTCCTATCGCGTCGGTGGTTGTTGAGTCGAACTTGCAAACCTTTCGCCAATCATCCGCCAATAGTAGCACATTCTCAAATTTTTAAACTCTGTTTTCAATTGACAGGAATATATTACAAAGTCACCATTAATATGGGACTATTAAGCCAATTGCATCAACTCTATATATAACACTATCAGAGGTGTCTTTGAATGGGGAACAGCATCCCAGTGTGGTCAACATTGCTGATTGCAGATTCAATAAAGGTTGATCTCATACATGTGGAAAGTACCCAGAAAATTGTTACATAAATCACCCCAGCAACTAACAATAACTCGGTTATATCATTTATAAACCATCACCTCCAAAGATAGCGACAGAATTGAATACAGATCTAATTCCTGCACTTAATCGATAACACATCCCATTCCTATCGCGACAGCTCACCTTAGCTGGAAATACGTTCTTCGAGTAAGTCGCCGCTTCAAAAAAACCTCAACACGATCACGCGTTACACGAGTACATAAATAACAGTCGTCGTGCATTAAACCCTGCATTGCTTCTAAATGGGGTGGCAAGTCGGTAGACTAAAGATCTACACAAAGACGGAGAAGGTGCTACTGTTATTCGCGGTGTTTTTTGCGTTGGTCGCTTTGATATTGCTGATTGTCGTACTCGGCAGGACCAACAGTGAGTACGTGTAGCATTTTTAGCATCAACATCCATAAATCTCTCATCACACAGACGGCGAACTATGCACGTCAGCTTCTTGCATCCGCTCAGCCCGACACATCATCGAAATGGTCGACCCTAAAGCCGACCCCTGCGATGATTTTTATCAATTCGCATGCGGTACTTTCATCTCCAACTCCATATCGCACGGGGAAGCTTCGATCGTCAACGACATGAAAGAACTAACCGACACCCAAATCGAAAACCTCATCAGTCAAGACATCGAAGACGATCAGTATCTACCGAAGTCTTTCAGATACCAACGAAAGGTAATACGTCTCCTTACATTAGGGAATCGAGAAAGGAATTTGCGTGACAGTTTTACAGAATGTGCATGAATACGACCGCCATCGAAGAAGAAAAAGATCGCACATTTCTGGATACCCTAGAAGAACTGATAGGGGGATGGCCGTTGGCCAAAGGACACGCGATGCAGTTCAGTTGGTCGGAAGCTATGGTGAACGCGAGGAAGATGGGGCTCAAGTTCAACTACTTTTTGGGGGTCAGGGTCCAGCCGATGCCCAAAGAGAACCAAGTATATTTGAAGGTATCGTCTGCACATAAGTAAGAGTTTGTTTAGTAAATGATTTGTCGAATTAGCTCGGTCCCCCACCCAAATGTAACTTTGACGAGGACGTCTGGAAAGAAGAAAACATCCCCTTGTTCTTAGAGATGGCATCTGAGTGGGGATCGCCTTCTCCCAGCGCCCGAACCGAAATGCTCAAAACAATAGAGTTCTACAAGGAGTTTAAGAAGGTGGGTAGGGCGGTTGTAGTTCACTTGGTGTGGACTTGCGGTTTTAGATAGTCGATAAAGCGTACAACGCGACCAAGGACATCAAGCCCGAGCACAAAAAGTCCACTATCGCCAGGTTGAAGCACCTGCAGCTCATCAGGTTGCCTTGGCTCCAATTCCTTAGAGACATTACAGGTTTTGAACACCTTAAGGAGGAAGACACCATTATTGTGGACATTACGCAGGAATACCTCACGGACTTGTACTACCTCTTGCTGAGGACCGAACACAAGTAAGTCAGCTGGGTGGTGGTTCGATCCTCCATAATTATTTTCTGGCACCAGGTTCGTGTCGAACTATATAGCAACGCTTCTCATACTGGAAGACTACGGGTTCCTCACGAAGAAGATAGCCAGGCTAGGCATGAAAATCGAAGACAGGCCCGATTATAAGAATCGGAGGGAGTATTGCTTAAGCAAGACGAAAACTACGTAAGTTGAATGGGCAATAAGGAATTTCGGCAATAAAAAGTGTCTATTTTAGATTCGACAGCGTTGCCGACGCGTTGTACGTGAGGAAATTCGTCAACGGCGACAACAAAATGGCAGTTGAAGAGATGGTGAAAAGTATAAGAAGAGAATTGGAAGTGGGGCTAGAGGGTAACGAGTGGATGGACTCCGTCACCAAAGTGGAGGCCAAGAAATTCTTGGAAAATGTCACAGCGCACGTAGGCTGGACGGACTTGGTGTACAACGAAGAAAGGACTGAGCAATACTTTGGATACCACAAGGTCAGTCCTACTGCATGTCTATCAAAACAGCAAACAGCAAAGCAACAGAATCGTAATTTGCGATTAAGATAATTCAAGAATGGTAATGGGAGTGACTGTTCCACACCACTGAAAAATATCAATTAATTTTTATGTACTTTTCACAAACCATTAATTTTTGCGATTTCTTTATGGAAACAAAATATTTGCCAGTTGCACTTGGAGTTTACCAACATCACTTCGGTGAATAAACAAATGATGAGGTTCCGAACAGATATGTATTACGAAATGAACGTGGGAACTTTTGAAGATCAGCTCTCAGCCTTCGTTCACAGCCCTTATACAGACGTTAATGCGTTTTACCTCAAGTTCTACAATATCCTCAGTAAGTGTGGGACCGTTAGAGGTCAGCGTTTCCATTGACGAGATATTTTTAGTTTTAGCCGCTCCACTGCTGCAGCCTCCGATCTTCGACAGAGACGCTCCTAAGTACATAAACTATGGGGCCCTGGGTAGCATAATAGGACACGAGTTGACTCACGCTTTCAGCGAAGAGCAGAGCGAATACACCGAGTATTTCGGCAAAGATCGGAGCTTTTGGACAAACGACACGTCGGACATGTACGAGGAGGCTAGCAGATGTATAGTGGAGGAAGTGGAAAGCTATGACAAGCATGTCGAAGGGTTTAGCGTAAGTAAGATGCTAACTGAGATGTTTAACCTAGCTGGTTAGCAGCAGATGAGCAAAGCATTTTGTTTTTTGGTAACTGACATTAACTCTTGTATTGGCAGGAACACTGGTATGCATTAAGTATAAGTTGCAACATTGTAAGTTGTATAAGTCAATTTTGGAAAGCTGTAGTTAGGGATGTTTTTTCTTTTAATTGTTTGGACTTCAAACAATAGTGATTTTTTTCTAAAAACTTTTCAAAACGTACTCAAAAGGCGTTTTTAAAAAGTTTTAAATATTTTTTCTTGCTGATTGAAAACCTTTATCTTTAAAGCAAGCATTCTGACCTTTCCGGAGTGTTACAGTCCGATATAATTAATGATTCGGAAAGAGATAATTTAAGGTTGAGACCTACTATTGATTTGAAAGAACCATTTGACATGTTCCGTGTACCTATATGCAGCCCCAGAATATTTGCTTCAGCGTTAAACTCTTTATCATTCATTGCTAATTTTAGATAAATCTTGTCTACTTGTGATTTGCTGGCTTAATTGCGTTAAGCTTTAGTTTATGAGCTGAAAATATATCATATAGAAAAGTTAAGTCCTTTTTAACGTTTGTAGCTGCATCAACTACTTCTTTTGCTTGTAAAGATTAAAGCAGTTGGGAATCGTCAGCGTACTAATAAAGACATTGTTTCAAAAAACAAAAGAAAAGTCAGATATGTATGTTGAGAAGAGCAGACAGAGGTCTCAAGATCGAGCTTGGGGGTTCGAACTGTGTCATAGAAAGAGTGCTAATTTACTATGGTTGTAAACATTACATTTAGTTGCCAAACAGTTGTAGCCCTTCAATTCGAGATTATTCAGGATTTGCCGGCCATGCTCGAAGTAGTCAGGACCGGATTCAGCAGATAATTTACGATTTTAAATATCTACGAATGACATTATCGTTTCGGTTTTTTGTTTCAGGACAACGCGACGATAACATGGGAAGAAAACGTTGCGGACTTGACCGGAATCAACCTCGCGTACACGGCGTACCAAAAGTGGGTACTATCCAACGGCTTGGAACCCAATTTACCAGGGGTCCCTTTCTCGCCCAACCAAATGTTTTGGATCATGGCTAGCACGTATCTGTGCTACGATCCCAAAGCAGGGGGTGCGAAGCATTTTGCAGACTTGTCGCATTCAAGCCCCAGGTTCAGGGTGATCAGCGCTATCAAAAACTCGCCCCATTTCGCCAAAGATTACGAGTGCGCGACAGGTAGAGAAATGAACCCGACGCAGAAATGTAGGATATTCGCGTGATGACGTAGTAAATTATTTTTTCGAAACGACTTGGTTTGTTTTACATGCCCGGCGGTTTTCTTTTCGCGGTTAATTGGAAATAATGCCCATATAGAACGCGGTCTTAACGATTTTATGCCTGAGCTGGCGGCCAATTAATTTAATGCGTAACAATCGTAGGTTTGATGAAATCCGTATATAATTCAGGTTTCTCTATTTTCCACGATCTCGCGTTGTGAAACTCGTATATACGTTTGACATTTTGAAGGAATCTGGGTTGGACAAACAATCATTTGCACACAGTACTCTTCCACTAACTATACCGTGTGTTTCAATTTGCCATAAATTTAGAGCGACTTTCACGATGAAATATTGTTATACAGGGTGGTCCGTAATGAATAATAATAATAATAATAATAATTACAGGTTTATTAACTCAATTGAGAAAAAAAGTTGCTATAAATAAATGAAATCAAGCAACAAATAGGTGTGGATAATCAAATAATACATATATGTAACTGTTATAAGACAACTGTAGAGGCATGCAGAAGAGAGGGAGGCAAAAAAAGAAAAATATATTTAAGTGTGTAAACTCGATAGAATTTAAACAGAACGAAAATCATCGTTTAAAAAGTTCTAATATCACGCGTATTCACTTTGGACGAATCATATGACAGAAACTGGTCGCAGGTAATATACGCCGATTATGCATATTAAGCCAATTTAGGTCCTTAAACTTATGAGACATATGTCCTCTTTGATGCATAAGATCAACCTCACATTCGAATTTTGCCTATGCAAGTGCCGCATTTTGGGCGTCAAGTTTTTCTACAGTATTTTTAAATAATATATAATTAAATAATGTACAAAAAATAAATGTCGAATTGATGTGGGACACCAACATGAAAGAACTTTATCAAAATCGACTAACAGAAAAAATCGATAAAAACCCCATAGACGAAAATGAAGATATTAACAATAGTTGGAAGAAACTAAAATGGAACTTAAACTGAAATGAAAAAACAAAGAGGAAGCATGCTTAAAGTATATGTCATCAAAAACGGCAGAAGCATACGAAGAATATAAGAGAATCCGCAACGACACTAAAATACTAGTTAGACAAACCAAAGACTAACACTGGGAAATCTTCTCCAAAAGGATGGAACGTGACTTCTATGGACTGCAGGAACAAATCTGGTGACTAATAAGAAAAGAATACTTGGAGGGACTTTACAATAAAGAGGAGGTCAAAACTGACCCCAATACATCAGATATAAATAAGTGATGAGATCGATATAGAAAAGAAAGATACAGTAACGGCACTCCAAAAATTAAAAAAACCGAAAGAGCCCGGGTTTATTCAAGAAGATTTTCTCCCAACATAGAATACCACATGAATAAAGAACTATGGTTATGATTCGCTTATTCAAAAAGGAAGATGGAAAAAAATTTTCGAAAACTACAGGGGCATAAATTTACTATGTACGACCCTGAAGGTAACTACGAAGATAATAACGAACAAAATTAATGAATATATCACACTAGCCGACGAACAACAGGGATTTAGATCATGAGGATCATGCACAGATGCATGTAATAAGACAAAATCAATCGAATACAACCGGCCAGCCTTCATGTGTTTTATTTACTTGCAGAAAGCCTTCGATCCAAATTCAATTGAAAGATACGATACACCTTCTTTACGATCGACAAATTCTATTCAACATCATCGAAACAATTGAAAATACATACAGGGAAAATAACATACAATCAAAAATAAATGGCGAACTAACTCAACAAATATCTGCAAGTAATGGCATCGTCAAGGGGAGCCTTTAAGCCCGCTTCTTTTTAACATCGTAATGGATGAAATAATCAAATAAGTTCACAAACTAAGACGAAACAAAATGGGAAATAGGCGATTGAAAATTCTGTGCTATGCAGATGACGCGGTTCTTGTAACGGAAAACGAAGATGATCTTCAAAGACTTCATTCTGTACCAGTTCAATAAAACAGTCAAACAATTTAATATGGTCATACCAGCGGCAAAAACAAACTCGTAGGTCACTTCCAAGTCACCGATCAGATGCAAACTTGTGGTTGAGGACAAAATGATACCATAGGAACTGCCATTCAAATATTTAGGAATTGAAATATCTGGAAAGTAAGGAACCAAGCTACAAGAGCGTCTAGAGCAGCAGCATCCCAACTGAAGCAAAAGCCCGGATATATAAAACTGCTATTAGACCTATAGTCGCCAGTAGTGAATAAGTATAATATAGGCTTCCCCCACTCCTCTCCCTTTTGTGGGCGTATCCTCCTTCCCCACGACTCTCTAGCTCCTCCCCCTTTACCCATAATCCCTTGAAACTGGCTCCCATTGGATAAGCAACCAGAAATGCGGTTTAATCAATCTCCCCACCTCTAGTTTGCGATGGCGGCGAAGCCAATCAGAGCCCAGATATTTTCCCACCCCTAAGAAAAGCAATGGCGTCAATGAGACTTGATCATATTGTTCGCGTGACCATCTGCACCCCCTAGCGGTTCGAATGTAAACTAGTGTCCCCTCTTGGAATAAGATTTTCTTTAATAAGGTAACCCCACCTAGTGAATATTGACCAAAACATTTATTTTAAAAACATATAGTTCTGCGAATGTGTACCCACGCGGGTACAAACTGTACTTTTATTGCGCACAAAGGACAGGGGAAATAAAGACGAAAAGTGTTGGATTTCTTTTCTCGGAACTGGAAGCTGGCAGGCACCACCAATAATATCTGCAAAACAAAAAGCTGGTTAAAATTTTCATTAATAAAGTAGGATATTAGAAACCATATACCTTTTTAATTTACTAAGCAATCTACCGTGCGTTAACTTCATACATATTTCCGCATGCTTCTGTTTTAAGGTATCGTGAAATATTTGACTATTTATCTGGGAAAAGTTCATATGTCGAAAATATTATGTGTATGTGGCCGTGGTAGGCTTTCTTTACTATTATAATTTTATTTTTATTATTTAATATTTACAAAATTAATTTATCTATCTTATTGATGATTTTGATTTTCTTTGCTATTTTTATTATTTGTTTTTATTATTTAATATTTTCAAAATTAATTTAATTTATCTATCTTATTGATGATTTTAAGATATCGCAGTCAACTTTACTATTTCATCAATTTCTTTTATTTATTGCTGATCTTTGAGGATAGTGTACATACTTTTTTTCGTAACTTATCTGTATCTACCCTTTAATTTCCTATCAAGCCATAAAGCAAACTCGAAAGGCATCTTAACTAAAAAGTCATATACTTTAAAGCTGCTGCGACTACTACATGAAAGTGTGTTTCTGTGAAATCTCAACAATAATGAAATCTGGACGCTTATATTAAATACTGTAATACTCTTCTCTGCTAACGCTCTAGGAGACGCTATTTGAACCCTGTTCAAAGAAAAACTTCTACAGCCCAAATAACCCCTCTGAACCACACTTAAGCGCATCACTCTTTCACTGTCTTGCAGCCTTCAGATTAATATTCCGTACTAACTACGTATGCCATACACGAAACGTTCTCTTTTCTAATTTTTTTCTATGCGCTACATTAACGAACAGGATCTAAACTTTTCTGTCTGTGTATTTTGTTAGCCACCTTAAAAAAATTAAAAAAAAGGTATGCGAACCTAGAGGATATTTTCCATATTTTTCACAAATGGTGACAACAATTAATGCAAGTATTATTTTTAATAATAATCCATCTTTCGCTATGACACGAAAACATCGACTTTTTAATTCTAACTTTTCTCATAGAGCTTCCCTTTAGTCTCTATCTGTTCTTTAACTAAATCCCCACCTTTTTGAAAAACCAACCTCTAAAAATAGTTAATTTTCTCTAATTTAAATTTGTACGTTTTCCGCAATATGTGTGAATATTTTCGCTAGAGCATTTAGTTACTTAGTACATGTCCTAATCAATATTTTAAAAATATAATTCTATTGATACGTGTTTAGGATTTGAAGATAACGAAACATTCCCCAGTTTCATAAATGAGAGCTCACTGCCAAACTACCAAACATCACAGTACAAACTACCGTACTACGCCCCCCTGGACAAAATCAGGTCAGTCAGCGTCATTAATTCTACATGCGTTAACGAATAGCGTATTGTTAATTAAGGTTTAATACGCAGAAAATTTAAGTAACAAATAATCGCAATGAAACTCACTAACATCATAAATTATTAAAAAAAAATTAGAACGGTTGGAATTTACTGGAGTAACCAATTTGGCACTAAAAATGGAAATTTTCGATACTCTACTAGGTGCCTACAATAAATTTTACTATTATTTTTAATGCAGAGACACAACGATTTTGTAGTTTTGAATTTGATCAGGGGTATATGACCATAGTTTACGCCGACTCTAAAAGGCATGCAGTCTATTGTTTTTGAACGCCCCATTTTGTGTATTATGTTCAAAACAGAGACTCTCTGGGCTTACGAGTACAGCTACCAGCTACTACTTTCAATAATATTAACACAAAAAAAAGTAGGTGGCATTTTTATAATACGTGCAAAGTTTATGTGAAACTGACTGGAAGACAGAGTAACGCACCAATATGTTACTAAACATATTTCGATAGAATTCCGTAAGAGCTTACCTCCAAGTTTCCTCATTTAGTCAGTCAAAGCATCAAATGGGAAATTCCAATCCAACATATGTAGTGGTGGAAATATATCAATCGCCTACGTTACCGATGGTACCCGACTGAAGCTTCTGCGTCTTCTTTACCCCACATGCCTACTTAAAAAGATACTGGTCTAAGTCTCAATATTCCTGTTAAAAAAAAGAGAGGTTCTATATTGCCATAAATATGTGTTTTCAAAATTTTACCTGAATGGTTCGTGATTCCTTATATATGCAGTGTTGGCAGCAATGTGGCGACGACTACGCTGAAACTTTCCATATCTCGTGTCCCCATGACTGGTCTGTTTCATATATCAAACCTCACCTCGCACGGGTTTGAACCTCCTTTAAAAAAAAAACAGGC